TGTCTGTAAAGTGTATCATCCTAGAAGACAGTAAGGGGTTTATGTCGAGTACGTGAGAGAGATGTTGCTGCCGTTGCTGTTGGGGACAAATTCTACTGGTGCAGGCTCAGAGGTTAGATGAGGAGGAATCAATAGCATTGGTGAGCTTGCAGGCAGGCAGCTGTATGCTTTGTAACACTGTCACGTTGGTGGCTTGAAGGAACAGCATTGTGCTGACATAACTGTAGAGGCTATGTCTGAAATTACAGGCCTCACCTGGCCTGTGCTTTTCTTTTCTTTTTCTTTTTTTTAGATAGATGCCGTTTATTACCAGCAACCCTGAAATTGCAGGTCATTGTGTTCCTTCAGTTTGGCTGTAATGCAAGGCTTTTTATTTTTTCAAGGTGAACGTAAACCTAACCTGTGACGGTAAATGATCCCAAGATAGTTTGTAGAAGACACTACATTACTTGAAACTTAATGTTCATCTTTTAAAGTTTAAAGCAGTAACCTGTTTCGTATTGCACTCAGTTAAACTGTGTTGCAATGACTCATAGAAAACTGTAATTTTACGTGTGTGTGTGTGTGTGTGTGTGTGTGTGTGTGTGTGGGGTAATGGTGAAACTATCGGGAGCAACACAGATTTCTTTGATGAGCACAAGCACAGACGTGCAAGGTCGACTTTGCTCCAACACTCTCATTAAAAAGTCCCGTCTGTCTTTTCCACAGGATGACATCAACGGTTTAAACGTCACCTGCATCTGCAACACCAGTTTTAACAGAAACGGTGGAATAGCACCAAAATATCTTTCTCTACTGGTCTAATCACACAAGACCACACAAGAACATGGTTCAGTCAATCAGCTCAAATATGTGCATGAAAAAGCTCGATATCGGCCAACTGTAATATAAAATAAATGCTAAATTAACATAACAGACTGGATTCTAAAGATCTGAAACTCCATTTGTGTTTTCCTACAGATACTCAGTTTGATTTTTGGTGTTTGTTTTTTTTTGTTTTTTTTTTTAAATATTCACCACCCTCAGGCTTTTACCCTTCCACTGAGAAACTGGCCGAGCTCCAGCCCTCATGTCGACTTAACATTCTCAGCAGCGCTGCAGTTCAATTTTGAAAGATTGGCTGTTGGCATTTTGGAGCAGCCATGAAAACACCTCCTCATTTCTCTGATTGGATCGTTTTGTTTTGTTTTTCCTCCAGTAAGTGGAGAGACTTGATTAGCCTGGTTGTCTGTTGGTGAGTTTGGTTCACCAAACTCACCTGACACCCATCCCCCACATGTCAAGGTTGTCAAGGTGGAAACTGTATTTAAACGATGAGCAGATAGAGCACTATGGCTAAAAGGGAAACTTGACATGTGACGGTCATTTAGTTGTTGTGGAGATGTGGAGGTTTTGCTGAATATTAATGATACGATCCACTTTTTGGTCCCTGGATTATTCTGTGGGAACCTAATCCCTGCTGTCATAATCTTCTTGGGAATGGCGAAACATAAATTGTAGAGCAGATGCCTGTGTGTGTGCGCGCGTGTGTGTGTGTTGCTATGCCCATGTGTTTTCTGCCACTTGATTGGCACAAATGTTTGCCATTTGAATCCATGTACTGAACAGGTAATTGTGCTTGTGTTGTAAATCTAAAGCAACACAAGAACCATGACTGAACCATGTTCTTTTGGGATGACATTTTTCTTTTAACAATGAATAGCGTGTGGTTCTGTGGTTTCTTTGTGGTTCCAGTAAGTTCTATGAAGCTATTCAGCTTGTTATTTTGTTTTCTGGGTCTGCAACTCTCTCACATCTCTCTTGTTTCATCTTGCTCATTGCCTTGGTCTACATTGCTGAACATGGTGGCGCATTCAGCTACTGAAGAGTCACACGGAAACTGGTTGACAAATTAAAGGAAAAACCAAAGTCCTTAACTCCTACAGTGTGTTGATGTAGCAGCTCTGTCATGAGAGGCATTTTGCTGGAATGTTTTGTCTGCCTGTCCCTGTAGAGAAAAATCATGTTCCTGGAAATCATTGCAGTGTTGGAATGATCAACTTTACTCTTTGAAAGAACTGTATCCTGTTAGAAGTGGTCTCAAGGGACATGGATGGATTTGATGATTAAGAAATGATGCCAATCTTATTCTCTGCCTTTAAGCTGTGTTCGCAGTGAAATGTTGACCAGGGATCAGAGAACGTGAATTATATTCTGTAACTTTAAGTGACTACAAGAGAAATGACCCAAAGTGGGCTGGAGATGAGATAAACTTTACTCAACTTCCAGGCAAGCGATGGAAGCAACTATCAATGAGAGCGCAGGAAACAGCTGATTAATAAATGACCTGGTAATAAATATGTTAGTGTTACCTAGGCAACTGGAGACAAGTGACTGCAAAATGGAATGAGTGAATTCCAAGGTGGAAGAATATTTATAGTCAATAGAGGTAAACTCTGTAGCTTTTTTGATTGCACTTGATACTACTTTCCCTTTCATTTGTTATGCATCTTGTATCCCTCAGCACTTAATGAGAAAAGGTCAGAAATTCAGTATACTGGACTTATTATCAGCGTAGTGTCCAGGCCCACAACTCTGGTGGGTATGTGCTAAGTGTTTAAATAGCTAAATGTTAGCCACTTCTAAAGAACGGTAGAATGTCAATGTCAGAGGTTTAACTGTACCAAATGATGGGATTTCTGCTCATGTTATGTCATCAGTTTCACAAGAACAACTAGTGACAAGCTCGCAGTTTGAGATTAGAGAGAACTTTTAGGCACAGACTGAACTTTGTAGTTGAGTCGGGAACACAGATTCTGCCGCAGTGATACGTTTCTGAGTCACGGCTCTAATTTAATGTAGGTTTAGTATTGTGACTTTAATGTCAGTCTGATTGCACAACAGTCTCCGAAACACTGACACCCAGAACAACAGCAACTTGAAACAAAGAAGACCCACCACTGTCAGACATCCGCAGCAGACCAGTTGCTCCAGCAACCTCACCACCAGGGATGGAGGAATGTCTGGCTGTAGTTCAGAACCAGCAGTGTCCTGACGCAGGGGGTTGATCCACATTTAACGACAAAACTTTCGTATAACACTAATGGATTCATCCCAGTGTGGTGACTGAAGGGCAAAAGAGGAAGTTAAGTGTCAGTGATGTTTTTGTGCACTAATGCAGCTCCACTGGGAGTGTGTGGACTGTTGCATAAGTACTGAAATAAAGGTATCAATATTGCATGTTTCCCTACTGGAGGCTTCATTGCTCGGAAAAAGGGTTTGTGGATTCATTCAGCTTTCTTGCGGTGCTCTTTTCTTTCCAGAGATTTCCATCACTGGTGTTAAGTTTCAATCAGGACTTTAAAGAGGCTTCATAGTGTTTTTGTTATTGTCAGTGATGATGGGAAGTTCAATTGGAGACAAAACTAAAGATTTTAATGATTTACCTGATACACGGAAATGTAAAGGTGTATGTGATGAATAGAATAAAGCAGCTAATTGATCTGGACAGATGTGTTTAGAAGAGACTCTGTGTTAAATGGCACATAAACACTAAGAATGAATAGAAGTCAGTAAAGATGTGTCAAACATTTCTGATCTTTTGGTTTTAAAATAAGTTACACAAGTTATTTAAACCTTAAGTCATACATGCTAACAGTATCTGTGATTTGATAATCACTTAGCTTTAGCTTGATGGTATATCAGTAACAACTTACCTTTTATTTGCAATTACCTACCTACAACACCTCATTGATGAGGCTATTTGGATGACCAAGGTCTGCTAGGAAAAGGTAGAAACAAAAGTTGAAACCAAAACAAACGATAACACAAAATAAACTCTTGCTGATCAAATCAAATATCTCAAACTCAGACTGTCGGACTTTACCTGTCGTCGGCATGTGCTGTATAAGAACATCACATGTGTGATTAAATGCCGAAACCCGCACGTACTGGTCACAGCTTTAGTAGTAAAGTCAGCTGGTAGAGAGGTGAGAAAGCCCCCGGGGGAGGTTAAAACCTTACAAAGGTTATCTGGAGATACAGATGGGTTTATTACTTCATTTGCTGTTATCTATACAGCCTAGCTGAATATTACCTGCAGTTTTAAACACCATCATATTTCAAACGCTAACATCTACAATAGGATTTATGACTCGACTTGATTTATGAGCACTGTGAGAAAGATGCTTTACCCAGTACTCTGTATTATGTCACTCAATCAGCTGTGCGTTTATGGGGTCTGCATAAGAGCTTGTTAGCATATACTGTATCGTGTCTGTGGACTCAGCAGATGACTGGACAAGAGGATTAGCTACAAACTAACTCTCTCCCAGTTACACCAAGCAGCCAATCAAAGCACAAGCAGCGAGCTCACCAGACGAGCAACCTTTCCGGAGCTTGTTGTGTATCTAGCCAATCTGGGGCCAGCTTCGTAGAGCGCTCTTAGGATGATTCAGATTGACACCCAAATAGGATGTCTAATCTGTGATTAGCACGTCTCCCACGATCTTCCTGTCTTTACTCGCATTCTTCCTGTCTCTTTGAATGTTCCCACATCTTTTTGCTCTTTTATCTCTCTGTCACTACTAATCTACTCCTTTCTCCTCCCTCCTATCTTCATCTGTCTCGCCATAGTCTTAGTTTTCTTTGTGATATTGCCTCACTTTGGACATCCAGGTGTATTAATCTCAGTTTCAGTGAAATGTTTTCGTTTTGTGTGTGTGTGTGTGTGTGTGGGTGTGTGTGTCTCCCAGTTAAGCTGCATAACACCTGATTAAAGCCCCCTGTGTTGAACGTAAAGGCTCGTTTTTATATATGGAATAAAAATATGTTTGTTTGTTTGTTTGTTTTTAAACGAGGCTTGATAATGTGCTAAAAGTCACAATGTGAAGATTAACCGGTAAATCCTTTTTACTGTTGCTTTTCTTAATTTGAGGGTTAGATTTGTAGTTCTTGACACATTACGTTCTCAGTAGGCTCGTGTCCCCTCTCAACCTTTTGTCTTTCCCTATCTTTCTCAGGCTTTCAAGGAGGAATTGGAGAGCCTGATCCAAGAGCAGCAACGGAAGGGGAACAACCCCACTGGCCTGCTGGCCCTCAGGCAGATCGCAGACTTCTTTATGGCCAGCACAGTTGCCGGTTTCAACACTTCCCCCCTCAGTAAGTGGTCACTGTGCTCGTTACCCCAGACAACCAGACACTAACACATGCCATCCGCGCCCTGGGTGCAATAACTTTGAACTGCACTGAAAAACAAAAGCACAGCCTCAATATTGGAATATAGGAGATCTATACACAAACATGAGCTTTGTGTGCTCAAGGGCATAAATACTCTTAGACAACCCAGCCCCAGACTCCGGAAAAGCCGTGCATATTTCCCTGGGTTTTGATCCTTTGCAATTTCTGTCCAAGAGTCCCATATGTGAAGTCAAAGCCTTGGAATGCACAACTAATGCTAAATTAGACGTCAGAAACTGTGTAGCCTTTTGGTTTAGCTCATTTTTAAAATATTGTAATTAAAGACAACAAAAGGCATTAAAGGACTGAGTGCTGCTCGCATCACCCCACTGTGTAAATTAGGATTCTCATGTAGAGTCAGATATACCATTAGATACAAATCCAGATGCTAGCTGCAGATGTCTGGTCCTGAATGGTTGTCACTGATATTAATACCACCTGATCCGCAATCTGCATTTTTAACATTCCTGCTCCCCCTCCTCTCATCGTCCATGATCATTTAGGCCTGGGGATGGTCACTCCCATCAACGACTTGTACGGAGTGGAATCCACCACGATGGTGAAAGGCGAGAAGCTGACACGTTGTAAACTGGCCAGCCTCTACAGACTGGTGGACCTGTTCAGCTGGGCACACTTCGCCAACTCCTACATCACAGTAAGACACTACTCCAAAAGCGCAGATGTACTGGAAATTCCCTATTATCTATCTAGTTCATAAATTTTACCGTCTCCTGTATTATTTCCGGGTACAAACATTGAGGGTCTGTTTGCAGAGAAAGCTTTTATTGTCATTTCAAGGGTGTTTCAGTCTAACAGTAATTGTCTCGAGGTTACAAAAACATCTTTAATATCACAACTTAAATACCTGGCTTGTCATTCACAACAAAGATTATTGTAACCTTTGACTTTCTACAGAAAACTGATACTACAGTTCAAAAACTGTCCACACAGACTTTCAGAATGTCCTCTACTATTCTATGCCTTTGTTTAAATGCTATATATTGCACTATTCTTTTTTTATTTAAGTGCCGTGCAAAATCCCCAAGAAAGTCTAGTAGTGATGACTTTACAATGCCTCAATGCATTTTGCAATAATTTCTTTGTGACCACATCAGCTGATGGCTCAGCTGACACACTTCTACACATACAAATGGCTGTCTCATATAAGGCACGCTATCTGAGCCACTTTAGACTCCCCATAGTGGTTGGACCACGGCAAACCACTCTGCAGTCCACTTCCACCCAAGTTCCTCCATTTCATGCTGTATCTGACTCCCTGTTGCCCACAGAAATGTACAGGGAGGTTGCTGGCAAGCATGTTTTAATTGCAGATCTGACTGTTTAGTCCATATTTCAACTCTTCCTTAATTCTTTGTTATTCTAATGCAGTCCCGACTTGGGTCTGGTTAATTTTCTTTTCTAACTAAAAGTAACCTTTAGTCCTCAATCTGTGTTTTCTCCTAGGGTCGAGTCAGTAAAGAGCAAGACCACATCCTGATCATCCCCAGAGGACTCTCATTTGCTGAGGCATCTGCTTCAAACCTGGTAAGAAACACGAGCCACTGTGGTCTCATCCAAACACGGTTTTTTAACTACAAGCTCTGCCTGTTAATTTAATTTCTTGCTACAAATGAAATGCATCGTAAATGTCTGCGTCAGCATCCTTCTCTGTGTAACTGTGCCAGCATTACATTGGACTGTAATGGCTTTGCATTTGCTTTATTCAACTAGCGCTCTCCCATTTGGCTTAATCAGCCATTTACTTCCTTCACTCTGAAGAGGAAAGTACCAGATGAACTTTTTTCCAGTGCTTTTCCAGTGCTCTGTGCACGAGATCCCACCGTCTCTCTCTGACTGTCCCTTTTGTGTACGCGTTTATCATGTTCTGTGTCACCGGCACCTCTCATGTTGACATTAGCCGCTCTGTTTCTCTGTCAGCAAACACTGTAGGTGGTTCAGTCTGTCCGTCTCCCCAGTTTCAGCTGTGCTCGACATACCACGGCGCTAAATGTGCAATAATGTGTTTAAGAGTTCGTTGGCAACCTCGTTACCTCCCTCTGTATGTTTCAGCTCCCTCTAATTCACTTTCTATTTCGGTTTGTCTCCGTTTTGTTTTTCTCTTTCTGTTGCTCTTGTCTCATCAACATGTCTCATCCTGATTGTCGGACTTCTGTTTATTTCTGCTTTTTCCATTTGACAATTTAAAAAAACAGAACCAGGTTTCGCCTCTGTGTAGTAGCTTTGTTGTACTCTCCTACTTTGTCTTCGACACCTGCGCAAACAGATAAAATCCGGGATAATATGCTGCAGGTGTGCTTCTGCAGCCAGATTGTGAAATTTGTCATCACCTCGCTGACAAGCTGATTTCACTTTTTGACCTGGGAGAGTGGTTAGAAGGTAGTGATATAAATCTCTGCGCCTAACTTGCTACTTCCTGATAGTAAAGCCTCGTGGGTGGCTGAGTGGTTTGAACATGTCCTTGTTGAACTCAGTCATTTTTGAGTCTGTTTTTAATTTAATAGGGGTTTGTTTGTCTTTTTTGCTTTAGTTCAGCACAGACACTGTAAACTTGCCCTGAAAATCTGCTTTATTTCCTTAAAAGGGAATAAAGTGCCAAATTGCTGATAATAATTTCAGACAATAAATTCTCTTTGCAGTACAGACACAAAACAAGCGTACCTACCTGAAACCGCCAGAACAGACTCTCTTCACTAGGGTGACTTTGCTGCCTCAAAAACCTGTTGCTGCAATAGTTAACTAGTTAGACATGGACGTTGACATGTCTTTGATTAGCACACAGAAATAATAGTTCAGTACTGCAACAAAATAATCAGGATAAAACTAGATTTTTATTTATTTACCAATAGCAGTAATGCCAGCAGTATTTGGTTCATATTTATTTTGGTTCATTGGTTCATGCCATATATTCATTGTCAAATGTCAGCTCAAGGCTGATAAGTCCAATCAGGCTTCTTGGTTGTTCATCCTCCCAAGTATACTTTTCTGTTATTCTATTAGCAAAAAGAAAACTTTTACCTTTGACGATGTTGTGTTAGTCTTAGTTTTAGCTCTGTTGCTGCACAAAGTAACAGATGATGCTCTTACCTTCTGTCTCTGGCTCAAATCATTGTAAAGTGTAATTAATCATGTCCATGATTGCAAACTCAATCAAACTTACTCGCCATAACTTTTACTAGAAGCCACAGAATCCTTAAAAGCAGTATATGGCAAACTTATTCAGCTGTGAGTATTTTTAGTTTGTTTGTTTGGACCACATCCATCTATCCTGTGGTCGGGCAGTAAAGTTGACCACAGCACTGCATACGCTGAAAGACAGAACAAATTCGTGTAACCTGGCACTTCCAGATTTTCCTTAGTGTTTGTGTTTTGATGCCAGTCCGGCACTGCTTTGTTTATATCCATCTGTTTAATCTCTCTCTCCACTTTCAGCCGGCTTTGTCTTAGTAAGCTCAATAGTTACATGATTAAGTTCAAGAGTTTAGGAAGGCAAAGAAATTGATTAGGAGGAAGTCATCCAGAATAAAGCGTGTCAAAGGTTGTGTTGGGGTCAGCTGTGGTGCAGTTGGCTTTGGTTAGTTTGCATCTGTCTCTCCCTGTCAGTATTACTCTTTGAGCTTTGAGGTGATTCTGAGGTCAGTTTGAGTTTGGAGTTGAAAAGAAAAAATGTTTGGTCCATCTGGTTGTTTTAGTTTATTCTGAAGTCACAGCAAAGTTTCCCATTTCATGTCTCTAAACTTCTCATTGAAATTACTGTTGACTACACATCAGAGTCAAAAGGTGAGAGAATTACTCTCTTTACTCTTTGATTTGCTTGAATCAGGCAACCTTGAACCCTTGAAGGAATTCAGAGATTTCCTTTTCAGTTTCAACTGCCTGCTTCTGGCCCCACTCTCCTTATCAGCTTCTAATCCCCTCCCTACCATGCAGCTGCATCACATTTCAGATTCTTTGACACGTCCTTTGACTTATTTTTAAGATTAGAGGTGCTACACCGGCCATAAGGGCCTCTCAGTTTGAAGGGCTGAAGTTTGAAGGGCGTGACGGGGGTGATCCAATAATGGACCGGCCATGTGACATAACGGTGTTCGATCACACGGCAGCTGGCTATGGCTGTCAGGAGAGGGTGTGTGGAGACATAGATGGGGTTAGTTACTCACGCTTAGCTAGTGCCATTCACTTTCCTCTGCTGGAAAGATCAATAAATTCATCTGCCCAAACACCCATATGCCTTTTAAAAGTCTGAACACCACTCAGAATGCGTCTGAGGATTTTCAGCCTCATTTGACGCAAAGATCGGAAACAATCTGTGGACTCTCTTCAGGAAAGAGACGTATTAACCAGTCGAGCTGGTAATTGCTCAGGCGCTGTATTGGCCCCGTGCCAACACAATATGGTTAATTTTCAACAATATTTTTAGTCGTATGCAGTTTTCTGAGGTTAAATGTCCTACTGAATTTCCTTGTTTTACTAAAGAATGAATAAGTAGTGACCAGATCTAAAAGGATGTAAAAGGAAATACACTCTAAACTATCCAAGTAGTTATAAACCTCAAACCAAGTAAAACAAGATTATTTATTCAGAAGTTTGAGTAGTGGCAAGTTTCCCATGGTAACACTTTGGTCTTACTTTTAAAAAATCTGTTATATTCTCAGTGATTAATACTCGAGTGTCAAGTTTTCTGCGAGGTGAAAACTTAAAGCCACACCTCCAGTAACTTTGTGCAGTTTTTGTTATTTAATCGTTTTTTTAATCCTAAAATAAAAATGATCTGTTGCTACCAAAGCTAATGAGTAGAGGCACAGCTCTGAAGAAGCCCTGGATGGGATGGGTGGGTTTTTAGTTTGAGTAATATGATGATGAGAGATTAAAAACAGAGTTTGAAGGGGTTTAAAAAAAAATGTAATTCCTTTAATTTTGGAAGGAAATAGTTTCCTGCTCCACGCACACTTTAAGTACCAAACCCCACACTTTTGAGCTGGCTCAGTTTGAACTGTGTTTGTTTCATGAGCCTCTGACTGGATGATGGATGCCGTGTTCCTGGTGTGATAACACACTCTTGGACCTTGTTGGGGGGAGGTCAGAAATGTGAGCAGGCTGCTTCTGGCTTGTATCACAGAACAACATGTGCTTAGTGATGCCAATTGTGTACAAGGTCTGCAGGCAAAGTTGTGTTTTCGGTTTGTTATTAGGTTTTACTGTGAGGACTGACATCTGCACTTGCTCTTCCTCCAGGTTTTATATCACAGTCTCTGTGTCCAGTTATCAGTCTCCCCCCCCACCCTCTGGTATTGTGCTCTCTGTCCCTCCAGGTCCTCTATATATCTTTTGCCTCGAATGCTTTTCTCTCCGGTCATGTAATCGAATAACTGTTAACTGGTTGGTAATGAAGTTGTCGCAGTGAGTCCACTCCGTTCCACTATTATGTTTCCTGGTAAAGCGTAAATTCATTTCCCAGAGATGAGCATACAGAAAGGAGGAATTGTTGTAATGTGATTTCTGTGCCATCATACTCACAGATGTTGGCTTATCTTTAGGCCTGCTTGGTTAACACTGCAGGGTTATAACCTGCTTGTGAGTTAGTTTTGTATCGGCATATTTGATTTCACTGATGTTGTGATGGTTTACAGTACATCGTCTCTCTGTGGCCTCTAAAGCCCTGCCGTACTCTTGGCGCTTATTGCTTGGGTTAAAGTGTTTTTAACCACTCGAAGCAGATATCCTCAAAGCACCCTATCCGTGCCTCCCCAGGTGAAAGTCAACATCATCGGGGATGTGATCGACCAGGGCTCCACCAACCTGAGGATCGACCCCGCAGGTTTCAGCCCCCATGCTGCCATCTACTCCATGCGTCCAGACATCCGCTGCATCATACACGTGCACACTCCTGCCACAGCAGCTGTAAGTTCACATTACCACACGTTATATTATACCCAAGCTTGCAAACCTCTCTGTGATGATTTTCCCTGCAGATTGGTGCTTGATGCTTATTTTATTTTTAAGAGGGGTGCGATCTCAATTTGAGAAGAGGTATTTCAGGCTGGATGAATTTGAATAGTGACGTGATATCCCGTAAAATTACCTTGACACCTCGACCAAAAGGGAATATCTTTAAACGACTCGACAGCGCAGAAATGAAAGTTTTCAACAACAAAGAGGCTCATCACCGCAGTCATCAGAGAGCGCCAGAGTTTCCAAGCTTTCTTCCCACAGGAGCACCAACGAGAAACATCTGCTGCTGAACGTTAAAGAATAATGCAGCTATACAGCTGTAATCCACCTGTCAACGTTTCTCATTGCTGGCATGTCTCTGCTGTCTCCTTCTCACCTTTCTCCTGCTTCAGGTGTCATCTATGAAGTGTGGTATCCTGCCCATTTCCCAAGAGGCGCTGATCTTGGGTGATATTGCCTACTACAACTACCAGGGCAGTCTGGATGAGCAGGATGAGCGCATAGAGCTACAGAAGGCCCTGGGGCCAACAACAAAGGTAGGCGAAGCGAGGAGACTAAACATTGTGCAACATCTTCCATCACTTTTGCATAATTGGTTTGCGATTTGAAGAATCCACACGGTAAATAAAAAGTGCAAACAATAAACTTAGCTTTTGTGCAGATGTATTAAAAAGCTTTCTACCAGTATCTCTAGCTTCAGACTGGAGTGTATTTGTCCCAGAGGTTTGCTGATAAAAAAGAGCCAAAATGTGTCTTTGAGTCGCGTTTCTGCAGTCTTTCAGACAACAGACCAAAACTTTTAGAGGCTTGGAGCAATTTAGGCCCATATGTTGGGGTAGTTCAAAATAATCAAGCCTGTTTTATATCTCATCCCTTTAACCTAAGACAGGAAAACGATTGAAATATCAGGGTGTTTATTTCGAACAAGGAGCAATAGTAGGGCAGTCAGGCACCCTTATTTTGGGTTTTCTATTTGCCTTCCATGTGTATATCTTGCTTTCTGGCGTCTTTAAAAAAAAAAAATCAAAAAAAAAATCACCGGTTGATGGAATTTAAACTGGAAAACATTCTGGGAATTCAAGGGAGTTTCCGCTGCTTGTCTGTTGCCAGGTTCTGATGTCATCGCCCAGTGTGGCCAAGCCCTTGTTGATACATAAAATCATAATGATTTCAACCTTCAAACTCTTGAAGCTCTTCTGTCTCCTGGGCCAACATTTTTTAAGAACTAGAGAAAACAGAGCTTCTGGATACAAATCGGCATGAGCACGCACATTCTCCATCAGTACTTCCATTGACTTGGTTACTTGCTGAATAAGTAAAATAAACACCATCTAACAGTCTCATTTAATACAAGTTAGAGAAATGGACCTGTAGTGCCTCTCTGTGATCGAACTCTTCTGATGCTTACAATGACTTTTTCTGTGTGCGCGTGTTCCAGGTTTTGGTGCTGAGGAATCACGGCGTGGTTGCTCTCGGGGAGACCATCGAAGAGGCCTTTCACTACATCTACAGCGCTCAGTATGCCTGTGAAATCCAGGTACACATTGCAGAGCCAAGTGCTGCTGGTACCCAGTACATTCCTGCCCGACACACACACACACGCTCACACTCTCTCTCTTCGGCTTCCAAACACACGCATTAGTCCAGGAGGGCGGTAGCTTTCCTGCTAAATCTAATCTCCACAGCTGCTTTCACATTTCTCCCTCTCTATTTTAAGAACACTCTAACTCATAATCTCTCCCCATGTGGAAAATGTTGGCCAAACACAGCTTTATAATAAGGCTATTAGGAGTCTGATGAAGGGAGTAACAATCTGATGTGTTATTGTTGACGCTGGTCCAAAGCAGCATTAAGAGAAGGATGGTGTTCTCCGTGTTTTGTTTTTAATTAGTAAAGCTGAACAGAAGGTGATACATAAGATTTCAAGGGGTGAGAATTGGGCAGCATGAATGAATGTTTATTGACTGCATGTTCATTTTGAGGTTATCTTAAGTGTATATTCATATTTCATGTAATGTGTCGGTCTGCGTAATCTTTTCCGATAAGATGGCGATAAGCCCGGAGAGCGGTGGCGTGTTTGTCAGGGATTGTGGATTAGCTCAACTTAGCTGCAGCAGTATTTGAAATGGAACATAAGAAATAATATTTTTTTTAAATCTCAGTGGTCATTCAGACACTTCTCACTGCCGTGTATTTATAAGGGTTTGGATCTGTTTGTTGTGCACCTGTTAACATATTGCCAGACGTCCTCTTTAAGTGACCTTTGGTGTCCAGCAGTGGATTCTTTGGGTCCTGTGGGCTGCAGGATGGTGGATCTTTTACTGGTGTGTGTTGTAGTGCACTGCTGGTGGAGGTTATTAGTGAGTGTCATTGACTTTGGGGTGTGTGCTTGGTTTGCAGCATCGATTAGGTGGATGCTGCATGTCAAAATAACATCCACGTGAATTACCCAGAATATCAAACTGTAACAAGCTGATAAACGCTGCCCACTTTCCTCGGTGGTAGTTTGGTTGGTGCAGCTGACTGCTGTGCAGCTGTTTCCATTTTGAAGGGGCAGTTGTAGCAATAAGTGAAAATACAGCTGTGTTGGATTTCTGTTGTCTTGCTTTTTGTTCTTGCGTGTCTTCCTGTTCATTGGTAAATATGGTGGATTTTAGAGATGAACGGCTGTGCTCCACTGTAACAGCAAACCAAATCTCCTGATTGACTCTCCCTGGTCAAGCAAAAGAAAACATTAATCCATCCCGCAAAGCCCAGCCCAGCTTAATTTCTCGAAATAAATCCCCTCAGGCATGTTTGCATGTCATCTACTGTAAATTCAGTGCCGTGGTAGCCGGAGGGGTCTCTCATTTTGGTTTTGCTAAATGACACTTTTAGTCTGCAGGGGAAATGGTCAGGAAATTTGTTCCTGCTTATGCTCCTTTTAGATAGATGATCTAATGCCGCACATGTATTATGAGAAGGAGGGGGGTGTTGTTTATTTTTGTGTTGCGTAAGCCACCAGCCACCAGTAGAAGCTCACGTCTGTCTCCCTCTGTCCTCAGGTTAATGCCATTTCTTGTGCTGGAGGTGTGGACAACCTTATAGTGCTGGACCAGGAGAAGTACAAATCACGAGTGTTCGCCGTCGCCTCGGCGGGTGCTATCAACATGGCTGGGCAATACAAGTGGAAAATCGGTGAGCTGGAGTTTGAGTCTCTGATGAGGATGCTGGATAATCTGGTAAGTGTATAAAGAAAAACCTAAACATCAAAAGTGAAAGTTTTGTCAGTTTACCACACAACCACCCCCCCCCCCCCCCCGGAAAAAGACACAAAAAAGACCTAAATAAACACTTGCATAGTTATAAAAAAGATATATATGACACAAAAATGCATAATAATCATAAAATAAATCATTTTAATCTTTACTTGTTGTGGCTTTGTGAAATCAGGAGTGTAATCATTTGTTTTAGCAAAGTAACCCATCTTGGTTTCACTTAACATGAGTAAGATCCCTGCTTCAAAACCAGGAGTAGACACAAATCCCTGGTATCCAAGGGTATCCAGTGTGAAAGCACTCAGTTACTGATTTATAAAACGATAATAACAGGCCTATATGGATTTCATAAAAGTGTCACATCTGGTGTTTATCCACTATGGCACACATTTGGTCCGAGGTTCGTTTTAGTTCACCTTTCTGTTTGTTTCAGTCTTATTTCTGTTGCACTAATGATGGAGAACTATTCAGCTACTAGCAGTGGTGGCTAGTGTGGGTGAACAATACTGGAAAAGGGCGCCACCTACAGTAAACTAAACTTTTAACGTGCAATGCAAAGAAGCAGTCCTGATTCCAAAGCTCGTCTTTGGAAAGAACAGCAAATGAAACTTAAAGGAAATGGAGGAGCGTTTTGTTAGTACAGTGATAACTTTAAAAATCTGGAGTGGTTCAGTCCCTGGAGATTTGCTGAATGTTCTTCCTTGTCTCAGATTCTCATGCCTTTTGTCCTCCTTGCATCTCTATCCGCGTGTGCTTCGCTCGCCTGCTTCACCCGACACTTTTCACCTTTCTCCATGCTTCCCTCCCACCTTTCTCTCCTCTTTCCCCCCCTCTGCTTTCTCAATGAATCACTGCCTCCCAGCCTGTTGCAACTTTGAATAGTTCATCTTTGTCTCCCTTGCTTTCCTACTCTCCCCCTTTACACACTTCATAAACGGCATTTGTGTCAGATAAATTCTTGGATTCAGGACAGGACCAAGGCACATTTGTAACACAAAGGGAGAAAGTGGGAGAAAAATCGAGTAGTTATACTGTGTCTCGGCAAGCTGCCAGCTGTGAATATTTAGAAATGTCTGAATATAAAGCAGGATTTTGCAGGAGGAGATCACGCCAGCTCAGTTAGGTTGAAATGTCAGTATCGACTGAGATGTGGGGGCTGAGATGAAAAGGAAAGGGGGAAAGACAAAAGAACGGAACCTCGCTGTCAAGCCTGGTGTGGAAAACTGTCTGAAAACCAACTGGACTAAAAGAGTGCACTGAGGGACGGGCGATGGGAATGTGAGCGAAAAAGATGGTTGGGAATAAAGTGGAGAGAGAGAGAGGAAAGGAAGGGGATGGAGGGAAAAGGGTGAGAGAAAAAGGGGGTCAGACAGGAAATGACTATCTAACGCTGTCCTCTGTGTTGCCAGAAAGCCTGCAGTCAAAGCACAGTCTTTCTTTTCCATGTGACTAACTATGAAACTGGCAGGCCAACCAGCATTACAGGAATCAATGCTCATTTCTGTCGTTCATGTGCTAAAAACGAAACCGATTGAATGTTTATTCATTTATAAAGTCAGCTGTGAAATCAATGTCATGATACAAAACTTATTCTGGAGCAGTAGTCATGGATGATGTGGGGAGACTACTGTGACATATGACAAGGCCTATGTAAATGTATGGATCAGCACAAACCAGATAAAAGAAAGCAAACCCTACATGTGATCCTCTGCGACGCCTTTTAGGGCTACAGGACAGGCTATGCATACCGGCACCCCATCATCCGGGAGAAGCCGAGGCACAAGAGCGACGTCGAGATCCCCGCCACGGTTACAGCGTTCATGTTCGAAGAGGACGCGGATAGTGGTGCAACACGGCTGCCCTTCAAGTTTCTCCAGCAGCGGCAGCAGAGGGAGAAGACACGCTGGCTCAATTCACCCAACAGCTACACCAAGGTCAGCGTAGAAGGTGGAGAGGAGCGCTACAACAGCCGGACAACCACGGTGAGCAGTGTGGCTGGGAAAGTTAGTGTGTACATACCCACAGCTACTGTGGACTGCTGTGTTTTGGCTGGACTTGCATCCCAGTGCTAAGAACAAATGGTACTAGATTACCATCTAGTGGCTAAATTGTGAACTACAGGGGTTCAGCTGCATCATCATTATTATTTTTAATATTATTAATATTATTATTATATTTTTTGAAACAAAGTTTTCACTGGTCTTCTGTTAACAGTGGATGAAGGCAGATGACCCAGGAACCCCAATTCGTATCGAGGATCCCAATCAGTTTGTCCCTCTCAACACAGATCCCACTGAAGTGCTGGCGAAGAGGAACAAAGTAAGTAAAACTACCATTTTCGTAGCTTGATGCTACGAACGTGACGAAAATCTAAAGATGGAGTGACAGAAATTGTAGGATACACTTTACTATTTTGTTCTGGGTTCTGTTTAAAAATGTGAGGATATTAACACTTGACACATAATTAAGGATTAAATAAATCTCTATCATAGCCTCATATGTTTAAGGAGGGCATAACAGCCACGATGCTACTTTGAAGTGTCAGTTTTTTTTGTTTTACTATTCTGAAAGCCAAATATGAGCATATCTACACCAGGGGGTAGCTAACTAGAGCCATGCTAAATAGTAATAGTATTAATTTTACTATAAAGGTAATAATGTTTCAATAAAGATTATATAGAAATCACCAAACAACGCAGAAAACAGTCAAAATCAATCATTCAGATTAACAGAGGTGAGGATTTACAGCAGCCAGTCCCCTAAATTGTACTACTGTACAGTTGTTGTCAAGAGTGTCTCTTTCTACCATACTTTTATGTGTATAGTCTGGTCCCCATGTAATCATACTACTGTATAATTTGTAGTCAGTGCTTGAGAAGACGGCTACATTTGAACTGTCACTGCACTGGTTTTAGAGCATCTTACAAAATCAGTACAAATCTAGGCACTGAAACATCTGACTGTATCAGGCATGTTGTCCTGATTCCTGACAGAATGTTTGTGTTCACTTGTTTGGGTTATTAGAGTAAGTCACCGTGTGTTTCGTCCCGTTACAGATCAGAGAGCAGAACCGGCTTGATGTGATGTCATCAGGGCCGCGGTCTCAGCACCTCGCAGGCATCCCTGTCGATGAACCGCGAAAGGTGAGAATTTCCTCTTTCTCGCCTCTAAACCTCGTGTTCTGTGGAAACCGTCGTTTTTAGAGAGCAGATCTTCAAAGAAGAAAGTATCTGATGGTAAACTGTAGATGTGTAACATCTAATATCTGTTTTAACAAGACAAGTTTTCACAAAAAATGCATAAAGTTTAAGCAGTTAGATGCTGTGACTTAACAATAAATACTTTTAATTCCTCTTAAAGGGCACACCGGGGTACATGACAAACAGTTCTTGCAGGATATTCTTCAATTAACAGAAAGTCCTTACAGATATTTGAAGAAAATCCAGAATAGCTGGTGTTGATAATGCTATAAAAACAGTTGAGGTTTGCAGGACATCTTTATCTAACTTTAAGGAGAAACTTAAAGGTGGGCTCAGTTGTTCTGGCTGATTAGAGATTTGCTTTTTTGTGATTATGATAGAGCTTTTCTGCATATTACAGGAGTTTCCTAATCTTAATGACTTAGTGAGAACATTAGAGGAGGAGGACTCTCCAAAACTATTAAAAAAAAAAAAAAAACTTTATCCAAAATTGTTCAGACTGCCAGTTTAAGCCACTTTAACGACATCTCTTGAACACTAGGGGGAGACAAGTAAACACATTTATAACGGATGAAATGAAGCTCTTGACAGTTGCACTTTACTAGCAAGGATAGAATTGAATGTATAAATTATTGGAACAAGTGAAGTAAAAATGTCTCAACTAGAAGTTGTGGTGCTGATGGTTTCGTGGTTTAATGTTTTGTCTTGAAGGATCTGGTGCAGATAAACGTTCTGGTAAATACCAACGTACGTTTTCCTGTCTGTGGTTGTTTTTAGTTTTCTACATTTTTTTTTGTTCATTTTATGATTTTTAACACTTCATCACTCGTTCTGCTCAAAAACCACTGCATGTGTTGTAGTAGAGTTTTGCTTTAAAATTGACAACTGTTTTCAATGTATTACTTGTTTGCTTTAAACAAAACTGCACTTATTCGTGAGAGTTGTTGAAGTGTGATGATTTGTTGGAGCACGGGTCTCTTTCTGACATTTTTAGTCAGAAAGCTTAGCAGAGATTTAAGCTCAAGTGCGTTGTGTGTGTGTGTGTGTGTGTGTGTGTGTGTGTGCACGAGTGTGAGTAAGAAACACATCTTGCGTGGAGTTGATTAGATGTGGACTCTGTGATGTGGTTTTATCTTTACACGAGCTGCCTTATTCATCCTCTAATGAATGATTGTCATCCTCAGACACAGTGGGTGTTTGTGCCATTTTTAAACTTTTTTTTTTTGTTTGATTGTGTGTGTGTGTGTGTGTGTGTGTGTGTGGAGTGGTGCGTGCATGGTTTTTTTTTGGTATGTGTACCTTTGGTGTGTGCTTGTGTGTTAGTACATGGTTTGTTTTTTAAATTTCAGAGTGTGTGCCAGTGCCTCCTGATTATTTCTCTCTGTGTACGTGTGTCCCATCCTCACCCCTCTGCCTGTCTCCTCCCCAGCCATACGTGCCCACAGAGGAAGAGCAGATGGCTCCCCTGCCTCCCAACCCTTTCAGTGAGTTGTCAGAGAAGGCGCTGGAAGAGTATCGCAAGAACGTGGAGAGAAGGCAACTGGGCCTCAGCGGTACGGCACATACGCTCACGAATACACTTCTGTTAACAACCATCAAAGCTCACGCACACATGGCGAGATGAACTCGAACCCAGAGTTTTCTTTCCTGCTGCCAGCTGCAGACGACCTTACCAGTCGGTGAAGGTTCATTAAACAACAAAATATTGAGCCGGGGCTTGAAACAAATTGGATCAATAATCAATATGCAAGATACAATTTGAGCGCACACATCGGGAAATTAGTTTGAGCCAGCAAGAGGAATTGTCATCTGCTTAGCTGGGTGCTGGCGTCAGTTTACTCCGGTGCAGGAAACTGGTCCTTTTCTTTTAATTTATCACTTATATCATGGTTTTGATTTTAAAGTAAATCTTCTTTTTTTTTAAAAATGCTGGTCTATTAACCATCGCAATCATCTTTATTAACCCTGAAGGAAAAACTAAGACCTCAAGAAAGCTTGAATATGAATTTATCCGGTTCCGCTTGTATCTCTTGAGAGCTGAGTGAAATCGGTTTGTGTTGCCCCTGGATTAAAAGCTCATCGGCACCTAAAACTACTGTTGGTGTTTGAGTCATTAAAGGGTTTTTTTGCACGTTTTAAAAGACTTTAAACTGTGGAAAAAATAAGACACTAAGAGCCAGATATTCAAAAGTCCTTAAAATAAACAGCTGGAGCAGATTTCAACTTGAGCTTAAAACTAATCAGGATTTCTTAAAATTGGTTCTGCAATTACAAAGCCGTCCCCTTGGAGACTGATTAGTAAACAGCTCAACTTTCCTTTGTGCCCTCTCAGCAGTCTGGTGGTAACAAAAGATTTAAATGATCTCGGTCAACGCGTGCACAGACGCACATCTATATACCTATACGTCTATATCTATATGCAAGGTCTATGGCTGCTTTAAACTGTGTTAACCTTGTCAACACACACACAAATACACACACAAGTCAAGGCTAATCATATTAGCCTTCTGTCCTATTGTCTTTCAGAGAGGCAGAGGAAAAATCAATAGCGAATCAATATCTGGGGGGCCTTCTGTCACACTGGAGCACAGTGAATGTGTATTTGTGTGTTGTGTATATTTGGGTAAGGCCATGTGTATGGATGGCTGCAAATGTTCTTCTGTGCATATGAAACATGGTGCGACTGTATGTGTGTAAGGGGCCAGTGTGACTAAGATGGCAGAGCGAACAGACAGCAGGTCTTCACACCCGCCACATGATCAGAGCCCGTTGCTATGACACTTTTGCCCCCATAGCCCCATGAATCCCCGGTGACCAATCTGGAGACAAGCTGGAGACCGTCTGGAAAGGCCTGATACATGCTCGGCCCGGACACGCACACACACGTTTATAGGCTTAGCCTGCGATTAGTTGTGACATGCAGATTGTATATATTGATCATTTTTAAAAAAACAGATTGATTATAATGCGCATTATATAAGAGAACTGATCAAATTGAGCTATATGCGACATAGATATGTATGAACACATGTACAGATGCGTATTATGTGCTATATGTTTCACATGAGGTGACAAAGCTCATGCAAATGACTACACACACTGAGATCATCTCATCTGAGGCTCGCACACATTTTTATCTGTGTATATACAGAACACCGAGTACTATCACTGCACAGATCAGGCTGTTATGCAAACACGTCCTATACGCTGTGCTTGTAGGAGTTGTGAATGATTGTGACGACTGCCAGCTCGATGTGTAAGCCCGAACGTACTAATGAATGTGTTAAAGTGATCAGGGAACGTCTTTCATTCAGACTAATTGGTGTTTAAAATGAAATTAAGCTACTGTAGCTAAGCTGCGTGGCAACACTATGTGCTCCTTATGGTTGGATAGAATTGTTTAAGAATCTATAGTTCAAAGGGGACTCATTATGCTTGTTTCTTTATCTATTTTACAGAAGAATATAAACTTTTCTCATAATCTCCTTATTCTATATAAGAGTGACTGAGATTTCTTTTCTTTCTTGCCCTAAACTTCATTTTTCTGTATTTAAATGTCTCACAATACAAATACTTCAGTCTATGTAAATGATACATCTCATAAAGAAAGTTTAAACTTTGGTGGTCTAGCTAGCAGTGGACCACAAGTCGCCATCAAGAGCGTTGTCTGTGTTAAGGTTTAGCAAAATGTTACAGTGTGTGCTCAGCCACCCACGCCCGGGGGCGGGTGGATTGATGGCACTCTGGGTGATCGGCAGACAAGGATTTTGTAAATTTTGTTGGAAAACAGCTGTGCATGGCCTGATTCTAACATGTGTGTGTGTTACCACTAATCTGTCAACCTCCCCACCCCACTCCCTCCGGACCCTTCATCCCAATTCCCTCCAACCTCTCATCCCACTCACCCCTGCTGTCTTCCCTCTACTTCCACCCCCTACACCCTGCCACAATCCTCTCATCCAACCCTCACAACCCCCCCCCCCACCTGGCCCCGTCCCTACCCTCCCTGCAGATGGCGAGCACGAGCTAACCTCTGACGATGGCTCCACTCTCTCTCAGTCTCTGTCTGTCACCCAGTCCCCGCAAAGCACTTCAGCTAAAGAAGGTATCACTCACTCACAGACTGAATTGTTTTTCAGAATGAGCTTCACTGTCTTGCTTTTTAACTTTAATGTCGGACGTGTGTTTGTGGACGAGCATGAGAGCGTAAATTTAACTGCAATAGACTAAATGCTTATTATACAGTGCCTGAACTAGCTCATGCTGTACTAACTAGTCTTTCATGTTAAAACGTGGTCATCTAATTCAATGAAACTGCAACAGTTTCACTACATTTAATACCTCTCTGGCTTTTTTTTTTTTTTTTTTTTTTGGACAATACAAATTTATATTGGGTTATGAAAATGTAGCGTTGCCTGAAAGGTATGAATTCATATTTTATACACTTATTATTTTGCCATTGAGGGTCCAAAGGTTTGTTTGTTTTTTAGAGCAATGGGAGAAGCAATTTTTAAAGACTTGAAGTCTTGTAAACTTATCAAGCATTCAGGGATTTCTGTGATTTTGCAATTGGTTGCCAGAGAGTAGCTGCTTCAAGAAATGGCATCAATTTTTGGTTATATCAGCCCAGCACTTTTCTCTCATTTTATTGCTAAGATAAACGAACTCCCTCCTGATGAAAACTCATACTTCCATTTTCTGCTAGTTATCTGGGTCTGCTACGGTGTGAGTAGTGATGCCCAGACCCCCCTCTCACAAGACAGTCTTGGGGGGGGGGGAAGCTGTCTACCATGTCCTGCCCAGAGGTCTCCTCCTTGTTGAACATGCCTGAAACACCTTGCCTAGAAGGCGTCCTGATCAGATGCCTGAGTCGCCTTTCCTTTTGATGTAGAGGAGCAGCATCTCTCCTCTGAGCTGCTCACCCCTATCTCTAATAGAGAGCCCAGACATTCAAAGAAGGCTCATTTTGCCAACAGTTAAATATTCGTTTGGTCGCTACCTACAGTTTGTGGCCATAGATGAGAGTAGGAACATGGATCAGCCAATAAATTGAGAGCTTTGCCGTCATGCTCTGCATCACTTCCTAATGAAAGATACAAGACGGTATTGATTTTCTTATTTGGCTCATTCAGTGTTTTTATCTAAACTTGAGGTTTTGTCGCAGTCTTACACGCATCATTATAAAGACTTATCAAGAGTGAATGTTCATTTGGTGTTAACATCACAGACCTGAGGGACTGGTAATGGGAAGTTTCACATCACTGGGTTTCTTGCCTGTTGCCGCCCTTTGAATGTATTTCGTCTGTTAACACGCAAGATTGACATTTGAAGCCATTTGGTGTGCCGCCAAGAAATGGCAGGATCATAGAGGTCTCTCTACAAGTTGTAAATAATGGCACTATGGGATTGGTTTCCTGTCCACTTCCTTCCAGGGCAAACGCGCAAAAACCACACAATAACAATTAACCAATAACGGCGCGTTCACTCAGGGGACCTATATTTTCTGACACTGTCACCATGAGGTCAGCCGTGGTGTACAGCAAGCCTTTTAGTCCAACCATCTGGTTTTTATGCAATGATGAAAATAACCTGAGAGGACACGTTTGGTGCGTAATATGAAACCAGCGCCCTGGATTGCTTAACCTGCATTTGCAGCACAGAGAACGGAGATGTGACGCTTCCCGGCATGTTACGTGAACACCGATTAAGGCAGTGTGTGCAGTGTGCTGTTCAAAGCTCCCATTTTGTTGGGTTGAAAGGAGGGCAGACTCTCTGGGCTATCAGGTCACTGGGGTTTTTACGCAGGGATATTACGAAATATGTAGAGCACGGGGACACTGTGTGATTAGTACATCCGACAACAGAGCCTCGCATTTGGCACAAGAGGACACAATGAGACACAATAAGAGATGAGACATATTCAGTGTGAGGAAAATATATTGATTTAATCAGTCATTCCTCCAATATGATAACATGAACATGCACCTCAGTGATGCTCCACCAGTAATAGTTATGAGTTTGCTCTTGGTGGACATCCACAAGCTGAAGATTCCTATTGGTGGAAAACGACTAGAAAAGAGCTAGTTTTAATGAACTCTGTTTAACTACCAGATAATAGCTTGTATGCCAAAATGCTAAACATGATCATGATGTAAAAAGCCAAAGAATATTTTATTTGAAAAGAGAATACCTTGCAGCTCATAGATTTACTCTACATGTATCCCTTCCAAAGAACACTTAAATCCAGGGAGCTCTTCTTTGTCGTGGGAGAATTTATCACATCTTGCAGATGTTGTGCCCGATGTTTTCACCTCTAACTTGTGTCTGGCTAATTTCCCTTCCCGCAGAGAACCACACAGGACTGATGAACGGTAAAAACGACCACGGGGACGTGGACGAGGAGCTGTCAAAGCGCGTGAGCCAGCTGACCACCAGCGTCGAGAGCGTGGAGATCACCGTGCGCTCCGGGGAGAAAATCGAAGAGGCCCTGTCCCCCGAGAGCTCGCCCTCCAAGTCGCCCAACACCAAGAAGAAGAAGAAGTTCCGCACCCCATCCTTCCTGAAGAAAAACAAAAAGAAAGAGAAGACTGAGGCCTGAGAGCGAGCAGGCAGCAGGGGGCGAGGCAGACGGGGAGATCATCTGCATAGAAGAATGAGGGGCAAGCAAACCCCCGTTTTCTGTTTTAATAATGTCTGTTTTTATTTTGTTTTAAATGTCCTTTTATGTTTTTAATTTTATTTGTTTTTTAACAAAAGGTTTTATGTGCAAAAGGCAGAGGAAACGAATTAACAAAAATCTGTTTGTAATAAAAAAGAGACGTTTTCTCCTTCTGCAAAAAGACAAGAAAGCTTAGGGGTTTGGGGCGGGCAAGTGAGGCCACAGATTAAAACTGCAACAGATGTGGGGTGCCTAGAGCTGGTAGGGGGGGTGTCTGCACACCTGACCTCCTGTGCAGGGCTTTAACGGGGCTCCTTGGAAGTGTCATTGAAGGCCGGTTTAGATCCTGAGTTTTTGGCTACTCCTGTGATTATTCCCGGGTTGAAAAATGGAACGTGAAACCACGTTGTTTTTTTTTTGCTTCAAATAATTGGAATGCAGCCCGAGTGTTGTAAAACTGCACACGTTTAAAAGAAACGCTTTTTTTTTTTCCCTTTTTAGGCCTTTCCGGCCTTTTTCCTTCTTTTTTTTTTTTTTTTTTAATTTTTTTTTTTATATCCCGGTCACCTGACTCTGCATACGGAACAGCGAGACCACATAAAATTTCAAGTCACACTGGAAAACTGGTCTCAGAGGGAAAAAGAAAACAGCCACAGGGTTTGTGTTGATTTATTTACTGTGAGAGAGGATCTCTCACGCTCTTCAGGCTACTGTAGGCACAGGCTTCTGACAAAAACCTTCTTTTCAGCTTGTTGTGGTTGAACTACAGATGAGTTTTAAGAGTAGAGACAGTGAGGCTGACAGTCTATCACAACTGTTATCTGAGAGAGAATATTTATGTAGCATTTTTTTTTCATCTTGTCCTTTTCATCTCAGTGTTTGTTGGGTTTTTTTGCCAAATTAATGGGAGAATGGGAGGAAAAAACAATCTCATCTTAAGCAAGCATCTCTATTTCTAGTTTGTCATCTCATTTTTACTGAACACAAATTTGGTATTAGTTGACTGTTTTGTACTCATTTCTAAGCTTTTACAGAGAATACAGATGTTATGCATGATTTCTCTTTTTTTCCTGTTTTATTTTTTTTGCAGCAACTGAATTTATTTGGCTGTCTTCTGTAGTGATGCCTGATTTTATTTTTTTATTTTATTTTTTTTCCAAATTATATTCTAACCTTCAGAGTACACAAAGTTACTATATAACACAGATATATGAAAACTGGATATGTTGGCTATAGATTTTTTTTTTTTCTCGTTAGCTATATATTTTTTATTTCATGGTGCAGCACTTTTTGTGGTATATAACACATTTTAGTTGCAAGTGGTTTCACCAGTGAGGAGGATCGTGAAGTAATTTGGTAAAAGTCGTGCAAGTAGAAAGCGAGGCATGGTGTCGGGGAGCGGTCAGGACCCAGAAAGTGAGTTGAATGAAGACGGACAGAATAATCTTTCATTGGTGTCACACGTGAGAAAATATTACTGCGCTCAAGCAGCGTTTCTGCTAAACGCAGTCCCCAGCTGCGATGGGAAGCATGGGTCATGGAGAGTAGAGCGGTGACGTCTTTTTGTTTGGTGTGTTTGTGCGTGCGTGTGTGTGTTTTTAAGCCATATTGTAATTTTTTTCCTCCATTATTTTAATAAGACAAGGGTTGTGATTCTTATCTGCCTGCTCAGGCGTCATAGACCCTAACAAGAACTCTGTTAAATCACCCCAGTGACTGCATCGACACCCCTCAGGCACCCCAAAACTTTATTATTTTATTTTATATTTTTGCAGTGGCTACACTCACAGTAGCTACGCCTCCAAGAACTGGAACATCATTAGGAGGTCATAGGACATTTTATTTTTTTATGATTCTTTTCCGGGCCCGGTCATTATTTCAGCTTCTAAAGCCTCCCCTCCTGTAATTTCTCTTCTAAACACGATCCTGTTGTAACTGGCGGATGACCCACAGTTGAACTCAGCAAAGCCAAAGTGTGATGGGTTGCTGCATATCCTCCCCCCTGCAGTTTAACCAGATGTACCAATATCCCAGCTAGCAATGTGAAGTATTGGATTTGGAGGGAGTGCGGGAGGGTTTAGGGGCACATCTTTAGCCGTGTTAAACGATAGCTTTTGGCTCCGGGCGAAGAACTGAGGTCACACAACTGAAAGATGGAGAAAGAGAGGAAATGGAAGTGCTTATCTGTGTGTAGTAGACAGGAGCAGGGGAAAAGGACAACCTGATACTAACACACCATATTTTCACCACTCAGATGTTGGTTTTTTTGGTTTTCTTTGATACATCGCTCCTCCAGGAAATCTTTTTT